GTATTTCTGTTTTGTTTCTGTCAGCATTGCCAGGGATATGTGAGGTCATCAAAACAGAAACACCCTCCTGTTCTGCCTCTTCATTGTACGGCAAATTGCTTTAATTTGTTTCATCAAGGCTGTGACTCCAACTTGTGGAATCCAGACCAGAAAGTCACAGATGACCAACGAACACAAGATCACGCCCCGATGATTTCACCTCCTCGCCCGTGGCTTATCCCCGCCGATCTTTCTCTATCTTCAGGATCTTTATCTCGCCGCCCTCAGCTCGCTGTTTGTGTCAACTCGCTGGAGGGTGTTACTTCCTCCCGTCTCCGATCACAAGAACCTCAGTGTCCTCGGTAAATACCTGCCACATGAGAGCACTTTCTGCCAGTCATGAATGCTGATCGGCAACTCAGAGCAGCCGGTGGGACGACCGCAGTATCAACACATCAGACTGAGAGGAAGACGGAGAAACGAGCAGGAGGCAGCGAAACAAAACCGCTATTGTCACAACAAGAGAGATATGAATACAAAAGGTGAAAGTGTCGAAATATTTCCCTAATTACCAAAGAAAATTCCCTCTCTGGCCAACAATGTGTGGACTTTGTTGTGTTTGTGTTCAATCCAGCGTTTGTTGTGGAAGAACTTGAAGCAAAGACCTCAATCCAACACCTTTGGGATGAAGTGAAACGCCAAATGCTTGCGAGGCCGAGGAGTAAATCCTGGATCCACAGAGCTTTTGGAAAGCCTTCCTAGAAAAGAGTGGAGGTGTTACGAGAGCATACCAGTTTTACAATGAGTATTTGGATACTCAGATGTTTAGCCAAACTGCAGCATCAGTCCTGAAGGGGCACCGTGGAAGGAACAGATCATGGACCTACAGGATGCTTAGAACTAATAAAACAGTGACTAAAAAATGTAAAAACTTATTAGACATCACATCAATGGGTTGTATTTTAGATGCCTAATTTACTTCAAACTTCACCTCGTGTGCAACCTTGACGCCACAGATAATAAAGTCTGACTTATGTTCAGCTACTCTCTGTTAACTGAATCAGTTTGTTAGAGGGCAAGAGACCAAGAGCCACCCAGGGCAGGCAGAGAATATGCTGGAAGGCAGAGAGGACAGATCCAGATCTGCTGGTCGGACTGGTAAGGCCAGAGGCTGCCACTTTAAGCTGGAGAGGTGTGGCATGAGGGCGAACAAAAAACAGAAACAGTTGCCGAGAGGAGAGGGAGGAGAGGAATCAAACCGTACAGGTGGGGTGACGATAAAGCAGAGCGGACTGTGATCAGCAGTGTGAGTATAACTTCCCATCATGCATCTTACTAGCAGTTTTATCGAAACATTGAACTCGTGTGAGAATGTGGACGATTGAGAGCGCAAAGAAGTGACTACGACCTGCTCACAATCACCGCTTATCTTTGCATCAGCAGCGACAGTAACAAACCTCAGTGGATCCAGTTTCAACATCGCTGGGCTGAGAAAGGAAGATGGCCGAGGCCCCAAAGATTCAACTCTTCATTAAGGTAGGACCCAGAGCACTACTTTAAAATCACACCACGGGTTTGACAAACAGTCGTATCTATTATAAAAGCTCCATAAAAATGAATGTGAACCACTGTTAATGTTTTTTTAAATGAATGTAACTGTGGACTTTTCCCATTGTTCTTATTATTTAAACAGATATGTGACTAAATTAGTCCCTTTTAATCCCAGCAGGCTGTTTTCATGTCGGCCTTAATCTCAGACCAGCTGACAAAAACACAAAATCAAAGCTAATTATCCAGCCATCAGTGTGTCTGATTACACACACTGCCAACAGATTGTCTTCAGCTCTCTGTCTATAAGTCTATGAAATATTATATGAATTTCTAGTCGTGATTTCTGCTCTGCGTTGAACCGTTTCTCTTTATCTCTTGGTATTTAAGCACAGTATCAGTGTGAGTGCTTGTGGTGAATGACAGAAACTGAAAAGAAACGTGTTCCTTCTAGAAACCCGTGACCTGCTGACCTTAGCGTTTTGCACGACACACGTAATGCGTCTCTTCTTACTGACATATAGTAAGATACATCAGGAATACCGAAGCAGCATTTAAATAATAGGTTGTTTAGTCTGGGTGTAAAGCCGCCTCAACCCTCCATTTGAAATTCCTTCGCAGCTGGCTTAAGCTGCCGGAGCAGAGCAGGCTCGACAGGAATACCTGAGTGTGCAGGTATTCACAGTTTGGTCAGAAAGATTACGGCACAGATTCCACAAACAATTACAGTTTCACAAACGGCTCGTGTTGATTTGATCTGCCATAAATGTCAAGCGTTTAAAAAGTCTGTTTGTGTTTGTCAGGCCAGTTTGGATGCGGAGAGCGTGGGGAACTGCCCGTTCAGCCAGAGACTCTTCATGATTCTTTGGTTAAAAGGGGTCAACTTCACCCTCACCACCGTGGACATGAGGAGGTGAGAGCGTGTTTTACTCTTTCTTTAGTATATTTGTTTGGGGTTTGACGCCTTGGCATACACCAGCACACTGCCTTTCTGATGTAGTGTGAACAAAATAAAACATTTAGAGCTTTTCATGAGCAGCTATTACGGCTATTAAGTATTTTACAGGTGCCCATAAAAAAAAAGGATGATCAAAAAGTTCATGTAGGTAATAAAACTCACATTAAAATGTTCATGAACCTCGTGGTTTTTAAAAATTCACTGCACTTACTCCATCCTTCCATCTATCCAACCATATACTTTATACACGGCTGTAAACGTACAGTGACAGGAGCAATAAAGACACAATAATAACACATCTAACACCCATACAGCAGAACTGAACTCGTAATGATGCTCATTCAGAAAACAATTAGCTAAAAGTAATGGATTTAATGGCGAGCTAAAACAGCTAAATAGGTGCAAGTAATGTATTAGCTAAAAGTAATATAAGGATAAATATAATCTGTTTCATAATTAGCTAAAAATAAATAGTTAACTCTTTATTACTGCTAGCGGTTTATTGCTTTTAGCTAATGATTTATTACATTGAGCAAAAATGTGATACTTTCAGCTTACTATCATTTTACGCCCACTGTTTTAAACTATTTAGTAGTTTTAGCAAACTATTTGATACTTTTAGCTAACTATTTATTACTTTTAGCTAACTATTTACTACTTTTAGATAACTATTTATTACTTTTAGCTAACTATTTACTACTTTTAGATAACTATTTATTACTTTTAGATAACTATTTACTACTTTTAGCTAACTATTTATTACTTTTAGTCAACAATTTGTTACTTTTAGCTATTTGTTACTTTAGGCCAAATATTTGTTACTTTTAGATAACTCTTTGTTACTTGTAGCTAACTATTTATTACTATTATTATTATTAACAACAGCAGCAGCATTATTATTATTAAATGCGCTGAAATAATAAAAGTGTAAATGCAGTGTAAAGTGTCAGTTAGGCCGGCACACACCTATACAGAAATTGGTCCACATCTATACTGCACCTTTTTAACCATAGCGAGGTTTTAAGGTGTGTTTCACAAACACACACCAATGGTGACAAAGCTGCTATGGGTTCAGTGTCATGCCCAAGGACACTTTGGAACATGGAGGCGGACAGGGATCTAACTGTCCAACTTACATTTAGTATGTAGTAATTGAGCTTTTAAAGGGTCCTCGTGAAACGCCTCAAGCAAGCAGGGTTCCTCGATTGTCCCTAAAGTTGATCTTGACTCTCCTTATTGGGCAGGAAGATGTTTGCTGTCATATCGTAGTTCCTCTTTAGGGCCATGTATAGTTTTCAGTTAAAATAAATGTCTTGGAACTGTGGTAGAAAATGAGTATTCCACAAAGTGACTATTACTGACATGTTTTTATTGACAATGTTTTAAATGACAATGTGGGAAACATCTGAAATCCATGATCGTGGAGGAATTACAGGCATCGGCCCATAGAGTCCCCGGTGTAAAGCCTCTGTCTGAAGTCACTGCAAACATGTCTTGCACATGCCAACATGCCAATCACATGCCAACCAAGTGAGTCAAGAAGTGCAAAACAATGACAAAGATGAGCAATATGACATAAAACAGCTACAAAAAGATGCAAACCATGGAAGAAAAACTGCAAAGAGACCTAAAACATCCAGAAAGTGACACAAACCAACAAAAAAAGAGACACGAAATAAACACAAAAGGCAAAACAATCAGAAAAACGATGCAAACCAACTGCAGAGACGCAAACTAGTGCATAGAGACGCAAAAAGACGCACAAACCAAACACTAACACGTATAGATGCTACACAACTGCAAAGATGAAGGACCACTGAAAGATGGAAGACATCTACAGAAAGACACAGAGCAACTAGACAGACACAGAAACTGACAACTAAAAGATGGAACTGATTCAAAGGTGACACAGAATGCACAAAGGTCGACTATAAAACAACCACGTGATGCACAATGACAAACAAAAAGTAACAAATAGCAGAAATTCCAACTGTCAAGGTGGTAATAAATTAATTTTGGGATTACTTGTTTATGCTGCCCCCGTGTGGCCACACAAAGTAAGGCACAGGAGGTTTAAGAAAAATGTTCAAATAGGAACTTCAATTAAAAATGCAAAAGTAAAAACAGAAAAAACAGAAATAAGAATGCCCCAAAATAATAATAAAACTGTCAAACCAAACTTGAACCTGTCAAAAAATAAACTCTTTCATGGAACAGAAGCTGCCTTTGAGAATTCAGGGCAGCAGGGATGGTCAGACGGAGACGGGGTGGGATGAAGGATGAAATACAGGGTTCTTTGAAAGAGGAAGGTGCAGGAAGTCAGCTGCAAACCTGAAATCATGCAATTCTTTATTCTACAACTGTAATTTACACATACTGTTACCTATGTACAACCGTTTACCTCCAGTTACATACAGGCAACTGTAGGTAAACTGTTTCTAGTGTTGGCAAAGTGGAGAAGGCAGATAATTAAGTCAACAGTCATCTGAATACCTAAGCTTGACACACGTGTATCATAAGAAAACTTAGCGACTGTCTTTTTGGTATCTGATCGAAATCCTGGGAGGAGGGAAAGAACAGGCTGACGTCAGCACTGACATAACAGCAGTGATGTAATGCTGCTGATTTATAACAATGAACTGCAAAACAACAACAACAATAGTTACGTAAGTCATGTTTGCTTATTTTGGTTCAGCTTGTGAATCCTCCTGGTCACTGGGTGTTGACAGCCACTGCAAACAGGATTTAGATTCCTTGTGTACATAAACATACTTGGCCAATGACTCTTTTTCTGATTCTGGAAGGACAGTCAATGGATTTTCTCTTGAAAACTGGTCAAATGATCCTGACAAAAACTGGGAAATGAATGTAGAGAAGATTAGAGGATAAACCACATTTGTTTTGTTGCAGGGCGCCAGACGTGCTGAAGGCTTTGGCTCCAGGTTCTCAGCCTCCCTTCCTCATCTATAACGGCGAAGTCAAAACGGACACAAACAAGATCGAGGAGTTCCTGGAGGAGAACTTAGCTCCGCCACAGTGAGTGGAGAGCTTCAAACTGAAGCCTGACTGGTCAACAGATTCTCATTCGTTGCTGCATTGAGGCGCGTTAACAACATCTTTTTCCAAATGGCAGATATCCAAAACTGTGCTGTCGATACAAAGAATCTAACGGCGCTGGAGAAGACATCTTCCGAAAGTTCTCGGGCTATATTAAGAATCCTAATCCTGGGTTAAATAACAGTGAGTGAAGTTTCAAGAGTTACTTTTGCGTTATGATGAAAAACGCTGCCTGAAGAGTGACAAAAACCTGTTACACCTTTCTGTCTTTTCAGTGCTCGAGAAGAAATTTCTATCCACGCTGGTGAAGCTGAACATGTTCCTAGAGACGCCTCTTCCTCATGAGCTGGAGATTAACCCAGACGCCAATGAATCTCAACGCCTCTACCTGGATGGTGACAAATTCACTTTGGCAGACTGCAACTTGCTCCCCAAACTCAACATTGTCAAGGTGAAGAGAGTCCAGCAGTCCTCTGTGTACAAAAACATAGTTTATATGATAAAAGACAGGCATTTGTCCATTTTCTACCTGGACATAAAAACTGAATTTATAAACTTCTCTGTCCTCAGGTGGTGTGTAAGGAGTACCGTAACTTTGACATCCCCTCAGAGCTGAAAGGTCTGACGCGCTACCTGGAAAACGCCTACAAACAAGACGAGTTTCGCTACACCTGCCCGAATGACTCAGAGATCCTCCTGGCCTACCACTCTGTGGCCCAGTACCTGAACAAATAGATCAACAGGCAGTGATGAAGCAGCACATGTGAACGTCAAAATGTCAGAAAACTGCCCATGACATATTTTTTATTTCTGTCAAAATAGCATGAGTCTGGATATTGAAAAATATTAGCAGTTCAGTAATTTGCCGTCCATAAAAATGTTGTCATGAATTTAGCTGCAGTGTAAAGCGCAAACTGTTTTGTATATACTGTATGTACTATCTATTGTGCTGATGTGGATTTCTGACGTGGATCCTGCAGGAGCAAGAAGCACCGTAAACCCCTCAGAACACTTATGTCTCACTGTTTGTGCGTGTGTTGTGATGTAAATTGAAATCAGTCAATTACATTGTGAGGCAAAAATCTGATATTAAACCATTATGTTGTTTTATGTATTCAGAAAAACACTTATATAAAAAGACGAATGGTTTTGGCTGTAGATAACACCCATCACATCATTTTGTAAATTACTGCATGTGTCTCAGTAGTGACAGTTATGTTTAATAGAAATTTAATTTAACGGAATGAAGACGGGGTGAAGGACACGTGAAAAATACTTTGATATGAACAATATTAAAGGTTTAATATGCAAAAAAAAAATTGCTTCACTGTTTTTTTTATGGGCTGCAAGGTAGAGCAGTGGTTAGCATTGTTGCTGGTTCATGTCTCGGTGAGGACACCCGGGATCTTTCTGCGTGGAGTCTCCATGTTCTCCCCGTGCAGCATGGGTTCTCTCCGGGTTCTCCGGCTTCCTCCCACAGTCCAGAAACATGTTGAGGTTAATTGGTGATTGTAAATTGTCCGTAGGTGTGAATGTGAGCGTGCTTGGTTGTCTGTCTCTAAGTGTAGCACTGTGATAGACTGGTTACCTGTCCAGGTGAACCTGCCTTCACCCTGAGTCAGCTGGGATAGACTCCAGCCCCCCATGACCCTAGTGAGGATTAAGTGGTGTGTAGATGATGGATGGATGGGTGGTGTTGTTGTATAGTTATTGTGCTTTAATGGTGTGAGTGAAAGCATTGTACATGTGCAGCAGTGCTTAAACATTTGTGAACCCCTTAGAATAGAAAAAACCCAACTGAACAAACAAGAACATTATACTTATTTGTTGAGGAAAATGATCCAATAACTAGACGTATGTGAATCTTTGATTAGCAGGTGACTTAATTTAAAGAATCTATCAACATCTGATTTTCACAACACACAGTTGTGGCGGTGTATCATGGTTGCAGCAAAACATCTCTAAAGAGTTTGGACTCCACCAACGCACAGCCAGACAGATTGCGTACAAATGGAGGAAATTTAAGACCATTGTTAGTCTCACCAGGAGTGGCTGAACAACAAAGATCCCTCTAGGAACAAAGTGTGTGATTACAAAGGAACCTGGTGTAACTTCCAAACAACTAAAGGCCTCTTTCAGATTGGCTTTTGTTAATGTTCATGAGTCCACAATCAGGAGAACACTGAACAAAAAGGATTTGCATAGCAGGGCTGCAATAAAAACACACAAAAAAAACCCTTATGTGGACAAGCCTGGAGGTTGGCAGAAATGTTCTGCAAATGAAAGATCAAAATTTTTAATTTTTGGTTTAAATGAGAAGCATTATGTTTGGAGAAACAAACATGTTGCACTCCAGCATAAGAGCTTTATACGATCTGTGAAACATGGTGGTGGTAGCATCATGTTTTGGGCCTGTTTAGCTGCATCTGGGCCAGGACAGCTTGAAATGGTTCATTCATGGAGCAATAAATTCTGAATTACACCAGCAAATTACAAAAGAAAATGTCAGGACATCTGTCTGTGACGTGAACCTCAACAGAAAATTGGTCACATATCAAGTATCAAGACAAGCACCCATAGAACACGAGCAATTTGATTTAAGAATGGCTAAAGAAGAATTAAGTCAATGATTTTGAAGTCAAAGTCCTGACCCTAATCCTTTAGAAATGCTGTGGAAGCTGAAGTGAGCGGTTCATGTGAGAACACAAACAAACACCCCAGAGTTATAGCTGTTCTGTAAGGAGGAATGCACTAATCAACAGTTTAGTTGCAGTTCATGCAGGGGATCAAACCAAATGATGAATGCAAAGGTTCAGTTCTACAATTTCATTTAGCAGACCCTTTAATCCAAAGTGATGTACATCTAAGAGCAGATACAACGCAAGCATGGATCTAGTCAGGAGAAAACAATCTAGATAAGTGCCATAGAACAAATTCACATACTTTTGGCACTCACAGATGTATATTCTGTTCCATTAGCTACATCCACTTTATCCTGTTGAGCGGGTGAGAAAAAGGGAATACTCTGACCACGTCACCAAAAACAGAGAAACAATCATACACATTTACATCTACGGCTAATTTAGAAACACAGATCAACCTCTTGGTATGTGGGAGGAAGCCAAAGCACCCAAAAGAAAAAACTCACGCAGGCACCGATGTAGGTGTATATAAATGACCACATGTAATATTTTTGTCTCATTTGTGTTCTCCTATCTACTTGTAAGACTTGTGCAGAAATCTGACATCATATTAATGCAGAAATATAGGAAATTCTAAAGGGTTCACAAGCTTTCAAATACCGCTGTAAACCATTACAGACAACACATGTGAGAATAATTAATTAAAGCTTAGGCTTATGACTCAATAGCAACATGTCAGACTTCTTTTTAGCCGATTCGAATAGAGTCATAAATGATATTATTCATAGGAACAGTAAGTAATGGTAGAAAAACTTGCATGCCTGTTTAACTCTAAGTCAGTGTGTTTGTTATTACATAATCTAGATGCTTTGTCATAGTGGTGTTAATTTTAACGGAGGTATACGGTGGTGTCAGAACTTATAATCAAGTGTATGGCCAAGCAAGCCATTTTCACTGTATTTTTTATTAGATATGGTCAATTAAACAATCAGAGAAGCTAAAGTATAGTGATGGTAATCATTTAGGAGAGTGAAAGCCATACGAAAAAGCCATATGGGTCCATTTAATCTTCTGTGCAGCACTTTATTAAATGTACTTAGTTACATTTTATGACAACAGCTCGTTCAGGGCTACTGAATTCACTGTAAAGAAGATTTGTAAGATTACACAGTGAAGATAAACATCAGATGCAGGAGTTGAGTAAAACATCACACCCCAAGTCTCAGGACTACAGAGATGACTACGTGTTGGTGAAGTAGCAGACCGGGTTCAGGTTGAGGTCAGGGGAAACATATTTCGATGGGACAACAGACTTCACCTGTCCCAGAATCTCCCCCCGAGTTCAAATCTGCCTTTGTTGTAAACAGGAAGACAAGAGGGTCCCGCTCCGTCTCTGATTGGATGAAAGCTTCACTCGGTACCAAGGCAACGCCTCACCGGGGCGGAGCTAAGCAAGTGACAGCACAAAAACTTTGTTAGCTCCTGGCTAACTTCGTCTGTTCAGCGATGTTACGAGCTTGACTAAGCACACGAGAAATACTGCGAAAGTAAGCCTTGCGTTTTCTGTACATTGGCAAACTCAGGAAGCTTGAATGTAAAGTTGACTTTGGTAATTAGCTCTGCCGGTAAGACGGCTAAGCTCAGTCAGGTAGCTGCTAGCTAATGTTGTTTCAGCTAACGTAAAGCTATAGCAAGCTTACGTAGAGAATGTATTGAGTTAACCAGCCGCCAGTTGCTTCGCTGCTGGCTCATTATAATCGCTTCTTGTTTACTTGTTAAGTCTTAAAGGTGTATTTAAAGCGAGACTCGAAGCTAGATGACGAGACAGGCTGGTAGAATGCTGCTAATGCACAAATTTATGTTCCCCTTTTCACACTTTCCCTTCATATCAGCTACTTGTGATCCCTCCATGTGACCACTTCTTGTGTGAAGTCTTCTTTGGGTCGCAGGCTCATCGTTTTAAGGGATATTTGTCTTATAGGATGGAGTGTAATGGAGTGGATGATGGAGAACTGTGCAAGCTGTCCAGCTCAGTAAGCAACACAATTATTTATTTTTTAAGTAAACAAACATGCAAAGACTGGATTTGAACAGTGCATTCAAACACACAGTCGAAAGCTGCCATTATCTGGCTACTTAACTTATGACCTAACTTGTGTTTAGGTGCTGATGAACAGCAAAAATGACTTCAGAGCACGGCTACAGCAGTTTGTGGAGGAGAGGATGCAGACCACCATGGTATGAAATAGGAATTCATTCACAGGTTATGTTTTGCATAAGTAAGAGGGACACTGTGGGGCAGTTTTTTCCCCCAGTTGGGCTAGTTTCTACTTAATTGGGTGGGTAAAATTTGTTTTGGGTTGGTTTTGATAATTTGGGTGACTTTTGTTTTTGTTTTTAACCATTCTTGGCTGTTTCCACCAACAAAGAGTTAAGCTCAGTTTAATCTGAACGCTGTGTTCTGCCTCCTTAGAATTAGTTTGCATTATTTACCCCTGACATGGATTTGGACTTTGGAGTATAATGTTACTATAGCAGGAACTTAAACGTCCTGTACGGTGTGCAGCTGCTCAGCATTCCCCCCTCATGTGACCATACTATCATTGCATTGCTCTTATCTGTCTGCTAGCTCACCGGTGTGCTGATTGGAGCTGCAGTCGCAGTCTCACTGATCGGCATTGTGGTGCTGTTCCTTTACAGGAGATTCAAACTTGCTCGTGAGTCATCCAACTTATTCTTGATTGTTATTTATTCTGTGATGTATATGTTTTATATGCTTATTGGGGGTTCCTCAAATGATATAGGTCTTAGGTAAACCCTATATTTTCTCTTACATTTCATTCTGTATATCATCTTAGCATAACTTTATTTGCAAATTTTATTTTGGATTCTCTGACAAGGTGAACAACAGCCTGGAGTACCTCACTATCGCTTCAGGAAACGAGATAAAGTGCTCTTCTATGGAAGGAAGATAATGCGAAAGGTATTTCTATTTTAGTCGAAGCACTCGTACACAAACATTTTCAGTCTGGTAGATTCATATCAGTATTCTAAATTAGGTGAGTAGCTTTTCTTATATGTTTACATGAATACATGGTGATACAACCTCTCTTTGTCTCATAAAAGGAACTTTAAAAAATACTTTTTCTCCACATGCCTATTAAGTCTACACCTTTATTCATGTAAAATCTATTTTTCTGTCTGCACCAAACAACAATGAACCTAATCTTGACTATGTTTCTGCCTTTCCAAGGTCCAGACGCTGTCCTCGATTCCTCCTCCCCCCTCTACCTCTGTGTCAAAGCAACCGCAGCGAATACGCAAAAGAACCAAAGTGTTGAGCATAGCTCGCAAGTATGCTCCATTACTACTTCTTTGATGGTTTAAGTTTTGATATATATTTATTACTTAATTGTTATTAAGCCAATTTTTTGTGCCGACAGAATCCTGAGAATCCGTAAAGACCCTCCCACCCTGCAGCCTAAGGAACCCCCTCCCTCCTTGCTTGAGGCCGACTTAACAGAGTTTGATGTGCAGAGTTCAAACCTGCCCTCTGAAGTCCTCTACATGCTTAAAAACGTCAGGTAGACAAATGAACAACTTTTCCTTGCAATTTAGCCTTTACTGTTGTTTTTTTTTTTGTGATGTGCATATTCTCCAACTTGTCGTAGGGTCTTGGGCCATTTTGAAAAGCCCCTGTTTCTGGAGCTGTGTCGCCACATGGTGTTTATTGAGCTGCAGGAGGGTGAAGGCCTGTTCAAGCCAGGAGATGACGATGATAGCATCTTCGTTGTCCAGGACGGACAACTCGAGCTCTACATCCAAGAGAATGTATGTGAACAGCATGTTGATCTACACTTCTTTTTAGATGCTTTCAAAAACTGAAAGAGCTTCGTAAAGTGGTTCTTTTGCAGTTTCAGATTTTACACATAGCCATTTAGTTTAATTTTTATATATATATATAAAAAAAAAATCAAATACTAAAGCAGAAACTGGGACAGATCCTCAGCAATGGTGCCAATATTGTTAACACAATGAGGACGCAATTTTAACAAAGTGTGATGCCTGAGAATATGGACACTTTGCTTTATGTAATGACTGTTTGAACATTCTACAGATATGTATGTACACAACTCATGAAAACAACCAAACAGCAGAGGGCAGTAGCACAATTTCTAATCACATGTACTGTCTTCTGCCGTTGAAGAACATAAAAAGTGAAAGGTGTGACAGATTTACAGAGCTGCACAGTGAAGTTTGAATAAAGATAACCTTCTGATGTTGGTGTTATCTCTAATATTTGTATATATTTTTTGTTTTGTTTATAAGGATGGGACAGAACCAGTGGTGAAGGACGTGCACCCGGGAGACAGCGTCCACAGTCTGCTCAGTATTCTGGACATTATCACCGTGAGCTCTCATTTACTCTCGCTCTGCGCATCGGACTTGCTTCTGTCCTCAGTCGCCCTCTGATCTCTCTGATCAGTTCAATATGTTTATCAATTACTTTCTTTTGTGTCAAGCATTACATTTATGCATTTTGTTCACTGTCATGCTCTGTTTGGTTTCTATTTCCTGTGTCCATTAAGGTGAAATTTATTTACTTAAAACTGTGTATTTTATGCTATTTTCTTACGTTGAAAATTCTAAAAATTTGTGATCAGATTTTGGTGTTATTCGCCACAAACTGTACTTTACACTTAGCGATTCACTCAAATCAGCAAAAATCAAGAAATTATAGCACAGAAAAACAGAAACTTTGATCACCAATCATGATATTTAAATAACATTAGTGAGATGTGTTGTGATTTTTTTTTTTTTTAACACTTTAGGACTGTATTACACCTACATGTACTGTATATTTATAATTAATCAGGCCACATGTTTAAAATACTCATAGCACTAACTAGAAATTTATGTCATAAGATAAGATATGCCTTTATTTATCTCACAGTGGAGAAATTCACATTGTTGTTAGCAGCATTACGCATAAGAGATACACACATACGAGACAGAAAAATGTACATATAAATATAAAAATATCATAAATAAAATAAATAAAAATATCCTGAGTTCATTTAATGATTTCATCAACATTTCTAATTACACAAGTTGTAGATGAGATTTCTGTGATTGTGTCTGTCTTTGTTTTTTTTTCTCTCTTTATTTCCAGGGTTATCCAGCTCCGTACAAAACTGTATCAGCACGGGCTGCAACTCGCTCCACCATCTTGCGTTTACCTGCATCAGCCTTTGAGTCGGTGTTCAGGAAATACCCAGAAACACTTGTTCGCGTCATTCAGGTAACAGACTGTCCAGCAACAATTACACAGCATGTAGTGTTTGTGTTTCCTCCCTCTGGAATGCAACACTAAATAAAACCCAATCATTTTCATCTAATTTGGATGTAACTGCAACCTCATGTGTCATATGTTCTGCTCTGTTTATCTCCAGTGTGCGATTTTTGTTTGTGTTGCAGATAATCATGGTGCGCCTCCAAAGAGTCACCTTTTTGGCGTTACATAACTATCTGGGCCTAACAACTGAGCTCTTCAATCCGGTAGGAGGGGAATTAATTAGCACAGACACGTTTGTGTGTACACACACAGTCATGCAGAGAGGCTCAGATTGAATACCTAAGTACGACTTTGATGAAATCGTACATAAACAAGCACGGAGAGGCACACGCACATCCAGCCACACACAAGCTAATTTCACACAACATTAAGCACAGCATCATAACTTGGTCCTTCATACAGTGAGAATGAATAAAAATGACTATAAACCTTCCACAGAAACGGGGAGAGCAGTAACCTTTAAACCTTGTTTTCCTCTGACTGAATGATTCTCAAAAATATTCCTTAATTTTATCCTATATGGAAGGAAATAAGTGGAAGGGCATTTACTTTGCCATTTCCTGAGAGTTAAAAATAAATAAAAAATTGTGTAGTAAATATAAATCTCCAATCAAATAATTAGTAAAATAAATGCTAGATTTTTTTTTAGAAATAAATATCTTGTGTACACGATTTGCAAGTGCCCCAAATGTCTGTCCCGTCAAAGTTTTTTTTGTTTTGTTTTTATAGAAATTGATAATTTGCTTACAAGTCCTTGATGACCTGATCTAAACTGACATGTGGACTGTTTTTTTTTTTTGTTGTTGCTTGATTGACAGGAAAGTCAGGCAGTGCCCTTGACCAACATAAACAACGTAATGGGAGAGGCAAATTCGGGAAAGACGACCCGCCGTCTCCACTTCCAGGATGAGTTACCTGCTGGGACCACAGAGAGTCCTTCAGAGTCAGGTCAAACACTCTCACTCATTTTGAACATACACTGCACACACGTTTCAAGTTTTTGCTCGGTGTTGGTTGGAAACTGATTTAGTGCTGACACGTCACTTTGCGTTAAACAGATGGTGTAAAGGACAGCCCTTCAAACAGCTACAGGAAGCTGCGATCCATCTCGATGCCCCCCGACTGCGCCGGTGGGTCACTGTCTTGGACATAAGTGATCGCCAAATGCCACATGCCTGTATTAATTTCCTGCACAGATTCATCACAGTCACTGATCTGAAAGCAAGGACACACACACAGACATGCGTAAACTCATTATCCTCATCCTGTTATCCTGAGTTGCAGGTAACGACCTGAACATGGCATGGGAACGAGCTCGAGTCAACATAGAGGAGGCACCACCCAGTCCTCTCACTCAAAAAGTAAGGTTTGCTGTGTAAATGTGACTCCATTTTCTAGAATCTGCTGCATGTTTCTTTGATATTAATCACTCTCTTGTGCCTGTCTCTGTAGTCCAGTCTGAAGAAGAGTGTGACAATGCAGCACACGCCATCTGAGGTGTTTCACTACACAGACAGCGGAGGGCACTCTGATGCCATCCACCTCAGTAAGAGCAGCACAATCCTCCAGGCTGCCAAGAAGGACCTGCTGGGACTCATCCAGCTGCAGGTGAGCAGTTGATCAATAACACAAGCTGGTGGAAATATGTTCAGGGCTGCCATCATTTTTAAAAATAATGGTAATATCGATTTTTAATATAGGTTGTTTAATGTGACATGTTTCATGAAGAAAATTCTGAAGGCCGGTCTACATCAGCTGAACTCTTTTCGTGTCTTTTTTATGATGTTATAAGCAGAAATTAAGAATGTTTTGTCCATTACAGGACCCCAGTCTACTTGAGGGCAGAGTAACCCTTCACCACGTCAAAGCCGGTTCTGTGGTGGCTCGTCAAGGAGACCAGGTTAGAAGAACAACTTAAAAAGCAGTTA